TTTCCTGACGTTTCGGATTCCGTCGGGAATCCTTAATCATAGATAATGGTAGATGAGTCCAAACCATCAGGAAAATAAAAAAAACTTGTTCCAGTGGTCGCTTCCTCTTCTTCTGAATTGCTTCAGAGAACTCGCATATTTTCCACTACGGGCAATGAAGTCATTGTTGGCCTGTTGTAGTTCACTGCTATATACCAATTAAATCGCGACCAAAAGTTTTGCCACCGACAGGTAATTTTCTGGATAAGCCTACAAAGGGCAAGAAAATGGCAACTGTGGTGCCGCATCCTAGCTCCATGAATTGTACTTAAATGCTGAGTAGGGGCAGTGAAATCCCCTGGCGCGAGCTAGTTCAGTTGAATACAAGTAAGCCGAGAACCAAAGCAAAATGAAATCAATAAAAATGCAAATTTAACAGTACGAAGAACACAAATGGTCAATGATATATAGCTTTATTCCACTCCCGCTAAAATGTGGTTAAGTTATGTGATCAGAGATGAAGCGACCGCCACTGAGTTATTTAGCTTTCTGCCGAAGCCATATGATTTTGGCAAGTAATTTGAAAATTCGCTTGGAAATGTGATGTTATGTATGAACGACTCATCTGACCTGACGAACGTTTGACTCATACAGCCCAAGAGAAAGCAGCCGCACAGTAGTTTTGGGGGTGTGGGTGGTACTCCAGTCAGTTCTTTGATTTATAATTTTATAAAATATATTATTAGCTTACCTTGACGTATTCTGTAAGATAAGGCACAAAGTTTATTGCAAAAATCCTTTCTGTACCAAGTCATAAGTCTACTGTTGTTGTGGATAAGAATATTTTCTCATTAATTTTTCAGCCAAAACAGATTATGTTAATGAATATACAATACTGTCGTCAGCGGTTTATAATTAAGGCTGTATAATTCAACTTTATGGATACAAACAGTGAACAGTTAGAGAATAGATAAAAATAATGAAACCATGTATGTAAAAACACCGCAACTCCAAAAAGGTGTCACATTGCAACTTTTTCTCCAGCACTATTTTGAAGTGCACAAACATAATTAGCGTTTTTTGCAAAAATATGCAGTCTGAATTTTTAGTTTTGCGAGGCGAAGACAGTTGTTCAGTCACCAAGACAAAATCAGAAGAATGTTAAAAAATATTATTTTTTGAGTTGAACGAACATATCAGAAACATTCCAGATGATATTTTTAGTCAGCTCTAGAAAGAAGTAAGCTAAAATACAACTGGTAAACTTGGTAAAACAATTTTACACACTGCCTATTTTTACAAAGTCGAGTTTTGCTTCTTTCCGACGTAGGGCTGCCAACAGAGTTGTATTCGTTGTACACTTACTCCTCGATTAATCATCCGTCGGCTTTTTGACAAGCCATTTCAAAATTTGTTTGCAAAACAAACTTGCTTTCAATTACGGTGAGCAACTAAGGCATCCATGGCCTTGATACCTAAGTGCAAGGAAAGTATTGCAGTTCCCACACAGACCAATTGTTTTCTTTTTGCATCTTACGTTTATTTTCTTCTTATTCAGACGCCAAGGTCAGTAGACCGATAACATTGGTCATTATCATATACCCTCGAGTCTCGGATGGCGAGCAGCCCTATCTACGAGCCCTATCCAGGTAACGGGTAAGCCCCTAACATAAAATTTTTTCGATTGACGAGTTAACGCTCAGATAACAAGCTGTCAATGCGCGTGTGGGCCTTGTTCTATCGTTAAATCTTGTTCCCAGCGTCTGGGTCTTCAGTCGCATGCAGCCAATCAGTGAAGTGATGCAGTTTGATTGGCTACGTTTGGCAAGACGAGCGTTTCACACGACCAACTCGGTGCCTGAGTGGACTAAACTCATTGACCGAGGTCCCACGTTATATGAAAGGCTTACTGATGCTACAGTCTCATCCGTATTTTGGTTTGTGTGGGAATGCCCAGCAAAGACATGGATGGCTAGGCAAAGGACCATACTTGCAGTATTTTTCTCTAATTTCATTAATGCTGACGATGTGATTTTCAGAGCCGCACCAGCATGAACCAGTTCAAAGTATTCTGGTGGGAAAATATAAATACGGGTTTTCAGTTTTGCTCCAACTTTGCGCTCTTGTAATCTTAGGAAGGTTTATTGCGGTAAACTGTCAAGAACGGAACACATTTTCGAGAATATAATAGGGACTGAAGTGATAGCTTTTACGTGTTTAACGCTACTAGCAAGCCATTTTTCCGACTAGCTTAGGAATCGGTATTCCCTGCCATTAGCAGGGCCCATCAAGTAGTGTAACTCCCACGCGGCCTGTAATTTACTCACAAATACCTGATGATGTCAAATAGAGTAAATTGATCATGTTTAACCTGCAATGGTCGAGAACGTAATTCGACCGGACTGCCCAAGATCTGTGAAATAAGGGAACGCTTAGCCTTAAGCCTTAAAATGGACGGCTTTCGCCTCTTTCAACCCCATGATTAATAGACTTGACGTTCAACGATATGGTCAGCCGAATGTATACGCTAACTAAGTACACCTCAATTATCCTGGAAGATGGAATTGAAGATCGTGACCGTTACATATAACGCATACATCGGCATGCACCTGCCTTCAGGGCATTGGGACATTAAATTATGGCGAATCCTGCAAGCAACTCTCATGAGGAAATTTGACTTCGTAGTTTAGCATATATTCGTTCACGTTATTTTGATTCTCTGAGTAGATTTAATCCTGCGAAAGAATTTTACTTAGGAAAATCGCCCTTTTAGTTAAGGTTATTCAGACTTATGTGCATTAATTTTGAAGAAATTGGAATTCGCCACATATCGAAGGAATTTCCTGTGCTATTAAATATGACGCGATCAAACTGTTGGTGAATATGCATTGTGCTATGGAAGATCTTCAAAACAAGTTAAAGAAAGTATAAAACATATGACTTCCAGAACCGGAAACTGTTGTCCAAAATTGTTCAGATGAAAGTGAGTCAAAGTTTCAGGAGTCATATTTATTTTAAGAAACAAGGAACAATTTATTTCTTTAAATTATGTTTAGCTAACCTGGGAAGTGTTTTGCACAAAATGCAGTAACAAAAAGCTTTTGCCGCCTTTCGTTATACCACATCGCATACTCAGCGAATGAGCAGTGTCCACATATATTACCGTGAAGGTAATATAAAACAGGGCTTATGTAAGTCATGGAGAAGTGCACTTTATTGTAAATTATACGTTCCGCCTATGCGTTATTTAGAAACGGAGCAGACAGAAGAATTATTATAATATAAAAATTGCCATATATATGGCCACGACATTTTGCATTCGCAAGCTTATGACAGATGCTGAAATTAATCCACTATGGCGGAAAATAATCCAGTGTCAAAAAGTCAGTTCTTTCATCTTCGTGGGATAAACGGTCTGCGAGCTACAAGAGTCTTCTTAAAACGTTGACTGTGCTGCATATAGCACTCGTCCTACTGTATTCGATATGAAAGCGGTCGTTGTCTTTCGGGAAAAGTCTGTGTTCGTCTTAATTCCTGAGATGCTATTTGTAATCGCGGATAGAGAATAGGAAAGAACGATAAGCGCTGTAAGAATCTATTTAGCTCTCCTCCCTTGTTTTTAGCTGCTTTGTTAATTTTTGTGCATACTTTTCCCTTGAATATGGCCTTATTTCATTACATTCGAGCTGATGAACAATGTTTTTGTTTAATGAACCAACTGACTTTTGCGCACATTTATGCACGAAAAATCAGATTACAACTTCTCCTTCCTCCGAAACTAAGTTTCCAGCATTAACATTTGTTGGTTGCATCCACAGTGACATCCACTTCTGTCAAATCGGAAGGGCAGGTTGAGGGCTTCTTTATGTGTCTGCTCACATTGATAAGGCCGTCACATTATTCCCTGTTATACCACTGCTGTGCTGAGAGTCC